TTCAAAACTTTCTTAAAAATGGGTTTATCTTTAGGCAATGATGGGTCGTATACAGTCTTTGAGGCTTATGCCATCTCATACATACTTTTATAAGAAGTTGTCAGAGTATGGGCAAAAACATGATTTAGAAATCAAGAATAAAGTATTTATGGAAGGGAAGAGAAAAACAGCAGTCATACTATCTAACCAGCCAACAGCCAATGAATGTGAGCCTGAATGTACAAATCACCAGGCCTGTGTAGCCACAGTTAAGGTAAAACTTTGCTGTAACTTTAAATTATCGAAACTACAATAAATAGTTAACATATATTTATATGTTGTAGGATAGTGGAGATTGAAATGATGCTGTCGATTACTACGAAGCAGGGAAGAAAATTGTGCAGTCACTGCAAAAGCAGATGGAGCTTCTTGCTGATGGTTGTTTAGAAGCACAAGTGGAGCCCATCTTGTGCTTTCAAAAGCACAAGATAATCGTCGATGATGATGTACAAAAGGAAAAAGATCACGATGGTAAGTGTTGTTAAAGATGCCGTGCTGGAATTAGATACAGACTTGCAGTATATTGTCAAATTAATTTATCTTTCTTTATTCACACTAGCTGAAAAAGTTGAGAAGCTCGAACAAGAAACCAAACTTATGTCACCTGATGAGGTCATGAAATTCTCTACTGTCAATCCTGATCATGGCAGAAAATTGACATTGGACAACGTTGATATTCATATTCCAACACACAATATGACTGAAGAGCATCAAAATTTGGATGCTCATTATTGTTCATTGATGTCAAAAGAAAACAGAGTTTCTGGCTTACACCTTTCTGACAACCAACCAATTTGTGAACTGAAAATGTTGGAAAATGCTACCTTTTGTTCTAGCCAGTTTGACCACAAAAAGCAACGACAAAACTATCGTGACTTGGTTGGTAGAATCATCACAACATCCCTTCCATGTTTGAATCCATTAAACAATGTCGCATCCCAACACATACACCATCAGTATTCCAAGGAAATGAAAAAAGCAACTGATACAGTAAGTTAAGTTATTGTGTATCATATTTTATGTCAAATACTGAAGCTGGCATTCAACATATAATATTTTAACCAGCAGGGTTCTGGCTAATTGTCATGTGCCCCCCCCCCCCTTAAAGAGGGGGAAAAGTCCCTTCTGCGCATGTGCCAGCCTTTGTTTACTGGGGACTCCACTGGAAATTAGCTTCCTTGTATTGCACCGGAAATGAGCTTACTCGTCTTGCACATACACAAGGAACATGGCAGAAAGCACTCCTTCAATGTTGAGTTCCTTGAATACAAACCCGTTGAGAACAAGCCAACGAAAAGCATATTATGCAAAAAGAGATGCCTCCAAAATATATTTGTTTGATATATTTGAACGATGGAGAGTGTTTATGATTTGAACGATGGAGAGTGTTTATGTATGCAAGAAATATGCGAAGTGAAGCAAATATCAATAATTTATGGGGGGGGGGGCGTACATACATTACAGTCTGTAATGTAAACAAACGCTTTGTTTACATTTTGAACTGCTATATTTCTTAAAATATCATGAACTGTCAGAAAATTTAACACCATTTTAACTCACTATACTTTTAAATAAATTAATATGATTTTATAAAATCTGGTAGTCTCCCTTTGTTATGAGCAGAACCGATGTGCTGTAACCTCACAAATGTTCTAATCAAGACTTCACAAACCATTTAGGCTCAAGTTTGTACATCCAATCCATCACCCACTCTGGACAGGAGCCTGCCTAACCTTCCCAAAAAGATCCACTACATAATTGGCTGTTAATTTGGAACAATTTTATATGCATTATGTTATTTTCTTTCAGACTTTGGTTGGCATTATATATGAAAATGAAGCAGATGGAATGCAAAACGTCTTGGACAAACTTCAAGAATATGTTCCGAAATATCTAGATGGTTGCAAGACCCAGTATGTAGAGCAAGCTATTGTTGGTGACCAACTCACTGTTGAAAGAGGGGTAAATGGTCTATTTGAAGTGGCTAATGGCTTCACCGCTGAAGAACGACATGAAGGTCTTCACTTTGAAATTGCAGATTTCCATGGAGGCATGAAATTCCTTGAGGTTAGTATCAACATAATCTCAAATAAAATGTAAGACTGCCATATAGTGGTTGGTGCACATGTGGCTAATAGAATATAGATTGGGTGTAAGCAATAACCAATAGCAATGTTTTCAATTACCTATCCATGATATTATACAATTGTTAATTTTAAGTAAGTCTTAACTGTTAATTTTAACTAACTGTTATTGAATGCAGTTTATGAACCTTCTCTATATTCTATGTTAGTCAACCGTACTGTATATGGTTGATGATAATGATGGTAGAATTTTATTTTGACAGTGTAGCCCCTTCAGTGCAACAACACTGGTATCAATCTGGAGGCCCTGGGGGTTTTGCCAAAATAAACTTAATATTATGTACAACAAACCAACCACCAGTATAATTTCGTGTTTTCTATAGTATATCTTTAATCATTTCTACAATCCTGGTGCTCCGCAAGACAAGTGCACCCTGTTCAGTGACAGGAATCTGATTAATAGGAGAAATGTGCGTGCAGATGTATCCAAGAATGTCAGTGCGTGCAAAAAGTTTTTCATGCTTGAGTTAGAGGCAAGAATTATAGCAGCTACTATGATAGAGCTTGGTATTGGTGAAATGAGCCAGACTCCTTCAACGAATACTTATGTAAACCTGGATAGGATGTCTAAACAAGCCAAGGTGGACTGTTTAAATTCACTGGCAGAAAAAGTTGTGGACACTTACATTCTGCGTAAGGATAAAGTTGAAACCATCCTCAAGAAAACTCGTGAGGCCCAAGATGAAGAAAATAGTGAAAATGGAAAAGATGGCGAAAGGTTTTCATGCAGATTTCCTGGTTGCCAGAAATCGTTTAAAACTGATGGGAAAAGACGAAAGGATCACGAACAGACACATGGTAGTCAGGGCCGGATTAACCTTTCGCGGGGCCCGTGGCATTTTTTCAGCGCGGGGCCCCTCAACCCCGTAAAGCATCAAAGCCTTTACTCACTGACCACAGAATTTTTGGGGCTCGGGTAAAAGGAGAGTAAAATCCGCAAAAAAATAGCAATTTGTACTACTGTAGCGCGTAAATGCATGACCGGAACATTGAGAGGTGTAAGAAAATTTAATTTTGGGGGCCATAGCAGTATTAGGGGGGTTTGGGGGCATCCTCCCCCAAGAAAATTTTGAGTTTTAGTGTGCAGCAAATGCGATTTCCTGCGTTTTGGGGTGAGATTTCTGCAAAATCGAGTATAATATTGCATTACCTAAACTATAAATAACCTAAGACGTTTTCTGAAAGAGGCCACTATATATTTCCAACAACATGCAGTTTAATTTTATTCTTGCAGGTTTGGGGGGGTTTTGCGGGCAAATTTCCCCTTTGACCACCCCTCTGCGCAGCCCTGCCTTTACTTGAAGTTTTCAGTTTCTAAATTTTCCCATTACCCTAAAATTTTCTTGGGAGAATCTGGTGCAGGGGTGCCTTATTGGGCCTCGACTTTTGATTTCTAAGGCTTCGCGTTATTTATTTTGCTCCGATAGCTTAATTAATATATTCTTTAAAGGCATTTTTATTTATTTATGGGGCCTCGCTTTTTGGAGTCACTTTATTTTATTTTGTGGCTATGCGGCCTTGTGGCCCTTTTTCCGTCTCCCACGCACCGAAAAAAATTTGAACTGAGTAAAGCGCGGGGCCCCCAAAACCGCGGGGCCCGTGGCATATGCCGCTTCTGCCATATGGTTAATCCGGCCCTGATGGTAGTTTTGTGGCAGAACAACATGGCAAACCATCTGCAAATAGTTCAAAGAATGTTGCAAAAAGCTCCGATGATATGTTTAACTACCAATCGTCCTTTTTGCAAGCTGGAATGCTCCTAGCCAACTTTTATGATGCCATTTCAGAAGGAGATGGGCAGCGAGTGGTGCAGTGTTGGAAATTTATCCTGCTTTACTTGGTACAAGATGGTGCCAGTAGCAGGAAATATGCATTGGAGGCATTTTATTTGTTATGCCAGATAAACAGTATCCTTTCCCCACGTGCTGCACATCATCTCATATGGAACCGATTCTACAAGACGAAATCTGGCCCTAGTGGGAATATTCCATTAGACTTGGCACTAGAGCATTTTAACTGACTGATTAAGATCTTGATTCGAAATTTGGGTCCTAATGGCTTAAACAAGAGAGCAATTGATCGGTATTGTGATGCAATTGCAGATAACAAGAGTGTTTTGCACACCATTTTGTGGTGTGATCAGGGAAACATTATTGTCGCTCTGTTGCTTCTGATCTTCAAAAAATTGTCAAAGAATTACTCAATCAAAATGCATTAGTATTCCAAGAAAAGAGAGACCTAAGTCATTTTCAAGGGTTTCAAGACAGCCTTTTGTCCAATTCTGACTTACGCTCACTGTTCAAGTGGATCACCACTCACAAGAAGAATGTACATTTAAAAAAGTGTGCACGGTGAAAACGTCATATTTTACACATTTTGTACAGTATACTGTGCACTGTAAATATAATACACTGGTTCAAGGTTAATGAAATGAAGGTTATTTTGAATCGTTGGGGGGGGGATTACCCATGGCAATACATGACAATATATTAGAAAATTCAGTTATGACCTCTCAACCCTTTAAGCTACTTTTACACGCTGCGATTCGTATTCTGACGTATGCAGTCGAGTAAGTTCATTTCATTGCAAAATTCGCCAAACTGAACAATGAGGAATTGTGGTGTCACACTTTTCATACACCAGAATACAAATCGCAGCCGACAAATCGTAGCGCTGGTAATCGTAGCTATTTCAGCATGGATACAGTATAAAGAGACACTAGTTAAGGACTCACAGGCTTTGTGGCTGAGCTTTCAGTACAGTTTCTGTTTTTCTGTTCACTTTATTAATGAGTTTGCAATAATCTATTTTATACACTTACCATTGCACCAAACAGTGTGCTTTGTCAACAATGATTGCTACGCACTGTTGGCGAAATATTTCTGAACTTGCCAACGTTCTCCATCTTCTATTTCCCAACAAACATTCGGGTGTCGTGTAGAACAATGAATATACACCCTCCTCAATATCTCGCATAATCTCCTCCTCTTGTCCATTGAATATCCCAGCAGCAGAGATACCGAATGTTTCGTTGACATGCTTAATTTGGTCTTTTATCAGGGACAGCAGAGGCGAAACAACAAGCACTGTACTTGTACTAATCACTTCATCTTGCAATACATCCGCAATTATCGGTATTGCTCGAAAAATCAACGATTTCCCGTATCCAGTATGAGCGCTGAAGGGTAAATCATTGCCTTTGAAAAACTTTCGAAGAGCTTCCCTTTGATCATCATAAAATAAATTTACTTGTAGAAGACAGCAAGCAATATTTACTGCTTCTGAAAATTTGTCTTCGTCAAATGTGCGTTCCTTGCAATACGCCATATTGAATTTACATATTCACGCCCTGCATATTTAGCAAATTAATTTTCTTGAATAAATTATTTTCCCCAAAAGCTGGAAAAGCGCGTAGCAAGCTTTTCCGCATTGTTTCGCAGTCCCTTTCCTCGTTTACGTGGCTTGGGACTGCCCGCAGGTTAATAAACAGTTAGTTATTTTGCACTTTGCATGCTTTTATAGTTTTAATATAACAAACAAAAATGAAGTCTAAAAGCAATTCAAGTAGGATTGATTATATAATGTAGGACTTATTATATACAGTTCCCTGGCTATTATACAGTTCACTGACACTGGGATTGAGTAGATATTTCAGAATGATTGAATGAATATAAAAACCTCAAAACCTGTGCTCACTAACACAAGCTATCCGAAAAAGACTCAACCTTTCATGTCTCAAAAGATTTTGGGAAGCATCTATAATAAAAAAATAACCGCACCCCCTACTTTTTATAAAAACGTTATATACTAATTTAACCTCGGTTTGACGTTCTGGACAAATTTTTTTTCTCAAAGTCAAGATTGGAATGACTATTGGAATAAATGTACTACACTGAACGAGATTACACTGGGCACGAGTGAATGTGAAGAACTTCATGTTATGTCAAGAATAGTGTGTTTTTACTTCATCTGATACTGAATCCTCATTTCTGTCAAAAATTTAAATGAAGTTATTTTTTGGCACAGTGTTGCAGAACAAATAACACAAAAACATTTTACAGTACCCCATACAGACTTGTTGATGATCACGAATTGTAGTGATTGGAACAGATAGACCATAATTCACAACATGAAACCTTTGGAGCATTTGCAGCATCCTATACAGAAATTTATAGTTGAATTCTGGTTTCTTCTCAAGTAAATATTTAGACATTTTGATCTCTTCTGAGATTCGTAAATATTCAGAAATTCTCTGGTCTGTTCTCAACTAAATATGAAGAAATTGACTGTTTAGAAGTTTGTTTGAAAGTTGGCAAGCTGGTTAACAAAGTCCAAAAGTGATAAATTTATTTAGATTTTGTTTGCAAACTATTTTCTGCCATGTATTTTGTTTGCAAACTTTTTTTGCCGAGTCATATTTAAAAAACTATAAACATAATTCATCATAATGAAAAGGGAAAGATACTACTCAATGGTGTTAATTTTGCTTATTTTTCCTTACCTCTGGACTCCAGGTTTTTCTTCTACGGTGGCCCATAAGGGACATGCTGCAAATAGAAATATTGCAGTAATTTTATTCACTTTGCAGAGACTATATTGTTATTGCAGTAATTATACTATTATCGCAGTAATTAAAGTAAAGTTGCTGCAAGTTATATATAAAGTTGCTGCATGTTATATAAAAAGCTGCTGCAAGTTATATATATAAAATTGCTGCATGTTATATATAAAGTTGCTGCATGTTATATATAAAGTTGCTGCAAGTTATATATAAAGTTGCTGCAAGTTATATTCGAAAGTGGAAGCATCAAGTGGAAACATAGCTCAGTGGTTTTAGCGCTATTTTAAGGATTTGCAAAGTCATGTATATTGTACATAAATTATTTATATTACATGATTTACAATTATAAAAAAGGGTTTTGCGCTAACTGTGGGAAATCCTGTTTAACTAGAGGGGCCTGTTTTGTGAGCAGAAGGCAATGCCAATGGTGATATAAACAGTGCCACAATGGGCAACTCTTCTTCTACTATGTGTACTTCAACAAATGCACGACCACTCACTTCTGAATTTTGTTCTCACAAGGAGAGCGATTGAAGCAAACATTTTAAACAAAAGAAAGGTAGAAAGAGGATGAAATTTCATTATAAATCTGGGAAATCAACGGACATCAAAATAAAAGGTTGTGATTATGACAAAAAAGATAATGACAGGAAAAAGGAGAGGATACACTTGTGGTAAAAAGAGGTGTAACCCTTGCAGTAACAGCACGAACTAGTATAAACTATGATGAATTATTTTATAAAGCAGTGGAGAAACATCACTGTTTCAATAAAGACATAAAACACGACGACAAAAATGTTCTATTATCTCCTCTATAGTGACAAGAAAAAAGCTGATACCCTGCCTTGTTGTGATGAAGCATTTTCGTTAAAAAGATATAAAGAGGAAATTGACAAGCCATACATTCAAATTACTTAATTATTGTGCTCTTGTTCAGATTATATGGCTAGCATTTTCAATTACCTCATTGACTCTGACTCAGATTCTGAAATTGATGCAGCAAGTAAATATATGGAGCAAGAAAGACCTGAAACATTGCCTCGTGTTTTACAAGCACCTCCACCAGTTGTGATACAAGTAGATGATGAGTGTGATTTCAACATTCGGGGTCAACAACCACAACCAACAACATCAAAAGATGCACAGTGCATCTTACAGAGTTGGACTGCGAAAATCATACTAAAATTATTATTACCCTATCATCTAGCCTCTTTAACTTCATTTTGGTGTTTTTCAGGGGTTTTTTTCCTTTCAACTACCAATGACCCCAGACGTTTTTGCCTCATGTATTCGCAACATTAAACCTTTTGTAAGCAGGTGCCTTCCAATATGGCATGATTTTGCGGTTTAAGATGCTGTTTTCGAAAAAACAAAAACATACAAATTTAAGTAAAGCATAGAACTTTAAAAAAAACACTCAATCTAACAGCTGAAAGCCTTTCGATGGGATTCCTATACTAGCTGAAGTTTGAGTATTTTTGCAATTTCCTACGAACAGCGACATTTCGAGCAATCGAACAGCGAGTGTAAACAGCTTCAGTTTCCATGGCAATTTATATATCAAATTGAAGCTCCTGAATGTCCCTATCTATCCAGCTATTTATCTTTATGATCAAGAATATCCACAAATATCTATTTCTTGTGTAATTTGACGCATTTTTCAAAAACTATTTTCGCTCCCAGCTTCCCAAAAACTCGCGCACTGTGAAAAAAATTTGCGACACTTTCTACGGGCGTTTTTCAAACGAAATATGCCATGCGTGACCTGTCCCAACTCTTTTGAAAATGATTGTCTGAACCCTACAGCCTCAAATGATTTTTGTTAATGTGAATGTATTAGAAATATTTTCCGATGGTAATGATACATTTAGGTCAGGCTTGTTAAGGTTCATTTTTCCACACATTCAAAAAGCAAGTTTGAGTGAAAATTGAAAAAGTTAATAATTAACAGAGTGTTGAATGCTTAAGCCTCTCAGAGTCAATCTTTTTTGAATATAAACTTCAAATTTGCATTTTGACTTGTGTTATGAACGTTTATCTCTGGGTTGTTTAATATTATGTAGCAAGACTTGGTTGACATTGGGCTTATACGGGCGCACCAGGAATTATTTTTCCTTAGGTTAAGTAACTTCCAGTTATTCCAGCCACCTCATTTACGTGTTTATTTAATCATGTTTAATCAATGCGACAGTTCACAACTGTCCAGAGTATATTTTGTAAACCTAATTGTTAATTCATGGTATTCCTGTTACTGGTAGAGGATAACCCAGTGGGTAGTAAGTTTAGGGGCGCATCAAAACGGCAGTAGTCACTTCCATACAGCTATAAAATTGAGCAACACGGCTAGATGGCCAGCTGTAAGAATGCTGTCAAATGTACGATGTCAAGGAAGATACAGAATTTGTGCTGTCTCAAGGCCATCCAGACCTCGCAAGTTCAGGACCACCGCCATCTACAGATGGGTCACGGCAACAAAAGAAGGCAGGGAAGATTTGCAAGGGGAAAAAACAAAAACAACTGGCTGTGTTTGATGTTATTCGTATAATACAGAACAAAAAAATTGAGACACGTCTGGAACTGATGGTATTGGCGGATAAATGGCAAGAAGAGGGTAAGACAGACCTTGCAGAGTTCGTTTCGAGTGCCTAAGATTGTGAACGAGGCCATCGATACTGCTAAAGAGCTGAGGGAGGTGCAGTCAAAGCTGGAACGCGCTAATAAGTCGCAGCTTCAACTGCTGGAAGAGAGGGCGGCTAGTTCATGTTTTGATAGTTGCCAAGGTGCGTGGATTTCAGCTGCGAATGAAATTTCAGATACAAACAGAATCGCCAAAGACTGTTTTGCGTCTGCTATCTATGACACATTGAAACCTAGTCGGGGGAAATATCGCAACATATATATCCTTGGGCCGGCAAATTGTGGCAAATCATTCATTCTTTGCGCCCTGACAAAGATTTTTCGATGTTTCATGAACCCAGCATCTGGAAGCTTTGCTTGGCTTGGAATTGAAGATGCTGAGGTGGTTTCAATAAACGATTTTTGCTGGAAGCCTTGTACCCTGGTGTGAGTTTCTGTAAGTGTTAGAAGGTGATACTGTTCATTTTCCTGCTCCAAAAAATGTGATGAGCAAAGATGTTGTGTTGGACAAAGACAAGCAACTCTTTGCAACCAACTATACTCTGCTAGCACTTGTAAAAGGTGGTACTATCCACAGAGTCAACATGGAGATGATGGATGTAAGATGGTGTACATTTCATTTTCATAGGCAAATACCAAAACACCCACAAAAAGAGATGAAAACTTGCATTTCATGTTTTGCAAAACTTATTATTAGCAGTATATAATTACATAATATAGTCAAACGCATTAAAGCTTCCAGGACAAACAAATTAAAATTAAATGAGAGTGGTTCACACCTTGGTTCACACACTGATTCACACAAACAAAATCTTAAATAATGATAAAATAAAACGGTTTAAAATCAAGTTAAGGCCTGGAATAGTATCTTGGAAGTGTCCAATATTGTTTTCCCTAAATATCAGACAAGAATAAATGACCAAACTGAGATTTAGCACGATTCACACTTCGGTTTATAAATCAGATAAGACGTTTCAAGTATTAATAGATTTGGGTGTGAATCATTTCATTTTATAAAATTTCGTTCATTTTGGTGTTAAACTAAAAGCAAAATATGTCAATAGAAATAGGTCTGATGCCACTGTTTGCTCAACGTAAAGGCAAATGAAAATACCGCATAAAATTCAAGCAGAAAATCAATATGTGAATCAAAGTGTGACCCACCTATAAGCGTGTGCATCGTTCTAAGATCTGGTGAACGTGGCGGAATAGCAAATAATGTAGCATGTGCTTTCATTATTGCTTTTCTAGCAGCCTTGCATGTCTGGAAAGGATCATTATCCACAACGAACCATTTTTCTTCTGTTTCTCCAGTGAAAAGCTTTGACAAATTCGTCTCAACGAAATCGCTGAAGTATTCCCCAGTCATATGCTCATACCCCTTGGCCAGAACTACGCCTCTGTTATAGGCAATAGCCACAAGCAGATGTAACCATTTCCCTCCTGCTAAATTACTTCATCCAAGTAAAATGAAATGTTAGAGTGGAATAAACTTAGTTTGATTTTCAAAAGTTTTTGACATTTCTTTGCAAATTTATACCGTTTGACATAATCACAACAATTCAGAACTCCCTTTTTTCTAGCGTCCCAAAACGTGAATCCTGCCAAAACGTGAAACATGCCAAAATTGGGTTTTTCCAGTAACTAGCCAGGAAAAAAGAGTCTGAGAACTAACTACTTTGCGCTGCAAAATGCCTGCTAGATGTGTCATATACGGTTGTTCCAACACACCAGATGCTTAAAATTAAATGTGTAATGGAGATTTGCGCCCAGAGGCAGTAAGGAGACCAAAAAAATGGGTAGGCATTGTTAAATTCGCGTGCTGGATGGGAGACATCATGTGAAAGCCATGTTTGCTCGAAACATTTTAAGTCTGATGACTTTTTGGGAATTTGCATGGTTTAGAACAACACGCATTACGTCGACTGAAGAAAACGAAGTTGGGGTTACCCCATATACAACGATACAAATTATGATAGAAAAACAGATGAACTTATCTGCGAGATCTGCAAGGGCAAATCAACGCAAGGTGAAATGTTACAGTTACTCATGTTTTACATATTTATCAAGAAACTAGAATTACAAATTGTAAGTGAAATGCTGCGATTGTATAGGTAAGGCCTTTATCTTTTCCCAGACATCTCTTAGGTAGTCTTGAGGATAGTAATGGCAATATTGCGTGTTAAAAAATTTGAATTTGTTCACATTATGATAAAGGGTGTACAATAATACTAATAGCTGATGAATCTTTCCAGGGTTGAGATTTTCGTAATTTTGTCAGACAATTTTGAGTTTGCACTAGTTTTTACAGAGTTCATTTAAGGTCTGCAGATAGTATAAACTTTGGTGTGCTTAAGATTGTAAAAATACTCCTCGCAGGCATAGTTAATCCGTTGTAACCGATCAAAAAACACATCTTCGGGTAACTATGGTTAAGGTCCTGTTATAGCTTATTTCATGACATTTTCGACAGGGCATAGGTGAAATTTTTGTAGAATCAGAATGTCTTCTGTCTTATAAGCTGGCGTTTTTTGTTCGTGACGTAGAACTAATGACAATATGAGAAATCTTTCAAATTTAAACAATAGCTGAAGAGGTTTGCCGGTTTGGGCGGCTCAGTCGAATATGAACATTTATATGCAAAAAAATTAGCATTTCAATGCTAAAAAATATTGAGCAGAGATGACTGATGAGGTCACAAGTGCAGATAATAATAAATTCACTATGGTTAATAGGTCCGAAGAATTATCTGGGACAGTTTGAATAATCAGAAATCAGAAGGGATGATTGTAAAATTTATTTGAACAAATACATAAACAACCCGAACAAATATAAATAACAGCAACAGTGTCAACAACCTCAACAAGTAAAATGGGAACCCTAATGTGCAATATCCTTCCTTATCTTTATCCTTATCTTTCCTTATCACCAACTCTATAGAGTTTTTATGTCAATCAACTTGTTTGTAATTGAATCATACTGGATTTGGACATCAGACAGTTGAAGCAGACTCTCTAAAAGTTCATCCTCCGTGCAGGTGGCATCAAGCTGACAGAGTGAAAATAATAGTCGGATTTCACTATTAAGAACTGAGAGACGTAGCGTTTTCTTTTCGCTTGTTAGAAGGTGGATTTTTAGTTGCCAGTCATCCATACAAGATTGTAGCCTCAATGTTACCCTACACTTTGTACAGTTGGCGATGTTGTCATTTTTCGGGATAATTTTGTTACCACAAAAAAGGCAGGATTTTGATTTTGCGATATTGCTTATGCCGCAGATGCTACCTTTTGCGACAACGAGTGTATCAGGTATTACCTCCGCTTCAGGCAGTTGTTCTTCCTGATAATTTTCAGCTACTGTGACAGAGTAATTATTGCAGTCCTTTGGTGGATTAAGATATCGTTCTTTGTATTGGTTATCCTTAACGCGCAAGTTTTTAAAGATGTACGTTTCCCCTTCCTTGATGGAATTGACTTGATCTTGCCATAATAGAATTTTCATTTGCCCTGATGGATCAAGTAGTATTCCTTCTTGCTTCTCGAGTGTTTGATTACGTTTTGTTGTTATTTTCTTTACACTATCCAAAGTGTGTACTTTTGCCTTCACTGTAACATATTGTTCAGCTATTGCATTTTTTATCGAGTCCAGCGAAGTGACTTTGTCTGATGGCACAAAATTTGGTGTGAAGATTTGTTCTTCAGTCAACGTGGTTGGCAATACTTTGGTTTTTTCGTCAACGACAACGTCATTTGAAGCTGCAGTGCGAAACTGTTGTATCTTGACTGGCACTTTTTGATCTTGAAATGTGCTCATATTTGCTCTTTTTTCCGGAGAGAAACAGACTCCTCTTCTTGTTTCGAATTTCGTTTGGATATTAAAGTTAAAATATTTTCTGTTTCCGCTACTTTTTACTGGTGAGACATTGACAAGATATCCCGACATTTCTTCATTGTTCTGTGACTGTGATGATGTAGCTATCAATAAAATAATTTTCATTAGATATTTGTGATATCTTGTTTCTTATGCAAAGTTTACAGATTTGAATTTGTAAAAGAATGCCCGAGTTTTAGATGCACCTAAGTGTTGTCTGACAAGATCACCCACTGATGATATTTGTAATAACTTTTTAAAATCTGCAAAATCTGAAATTGCATGGGCAAAAACAAACTACCACAATAACTGCAATGATAAAACTGGCATACTTTTGGTACTAATAACAAATATTCAAGCAATATCCTACAAAATACTTACTTGGTTGTTGATTCATTTTCGTTTTTTGTATTGTAACTATAAGCAGAAACATTATAGAGCATTAATTAAATACTTTAATTTAAAGAAGGTAAAAGAAATTACTTTTGATATGAAGTTATGCCTGGTCAAATTCATTGCATGTTGCGTGTGCTAGATTATGTAGCCTTTCTTCCTCATCTAGCTGGTACTTCAAATTTGCTAAAGACTTCATGCTTGTCAACCTTTCAAATGTCATAGGTTCAATAACAGAGGATGTCAATGTTTTTACTCTGCTAATAGCAACATAAGAGATACCAGCAGTTTTTTCTGATTTCCCAATATATCTATCCAGGCTTTAGGAAGTGTAAGCCCCTGACTTTTGTGTATTGTAAGGGCATATGCTAGCCTGAGAGGCAATTGTTGCCTCTCATGGACACCTTCAGAGAGCTGGGCAGAGACAGTTACAGGACATATTGGAACACATGAATGTAATGTATCACTGATGGATGGACCATTGTATTCATGAAATTGAACAATTACAGCTATAGGCAAGTGGGGTGGTCTCTGGTCAACTTGATCTTTAAAATCAATTACTGTTCCAGTAGCACCATTGCAGAGTCCAACAGATGGCCAAAGATTCATTGTAAGCATTACTTTTGCACCCTTTGCTAGAAATACTACTGGCTCTAGACCTGACATGTCTGCAGGAGAATTTTTTTTTCCTGTTATTGAAGAATGGTACGCATTAATAACAGCAATAGGTTGTTGCAGTTTTATAAGTTGATCATGATTATATGACGCAACTTGGTCATTACTATAAAACAATCTAGTAGCATCATCAAATTGAGTTAGATCACTTATATTTGCTGGTTGCCTTGTCAGAAGCATTTCCCAATCAGTGGATGAGGAATCACCAACACGTAATCTCATAAGCAAGTCTCTGAATTGCCGCTGCTCTATACTGGCACCTTGTACTCTTTGATTAACAGTAAGCTTAACTACTTTTTCAAACGTTCTATATGTTTGGTACCCCTGGTCTGCAATAGCAGTTGATGGTTTGGGATGATAAAGTGCTTTATCTGCAACAGGGGGTAACTGGCCTGGGTCACCAGTCAAAATGAAAGATTTCCCTCCAAGAACATGACCATGGTGACCAGTTGCTTCTTTGCAACGTTTGTCAATCCAACCAAATGTATTTTGTCCGAGCATAGAATATTCATCTACTATAATATAATCAATACCATTAAGGCTTTCTTGTAATATACAAAGAGATTGTCCTGACATCTTTGTTACCTCTTGCTCCTATTGGTAGTTTCAGTAAGGAATGAATTGTAACACCTTTAATATTAAAAGATGCTTTTCCAGTTGTAGCAGTTACTGCACATTTACTTTGCAAAAGATTACGAATGGCATTAATAAGATAGCTTTTGCCAGTGCCAGCTTCACCTATTATGATAAGAAACAAGGGTTCTTTTACTGGTGATTGATCTTGAAAATGTGCTTTTATAATATTATATGCAAGTTCTTGCATTCTACTGAAACTATTTATGTCTACAATATCATATGGTTGTTGTATTGTAGTACTTGATTGTTCTTTTATGGTAGGAATCCAATTAGGCATTTCACCAATTTGTTGATCAGTGTAGTTAGCTCTGTCTTGATGGCAGTAGTCAGTTGATTCTGTTTGTTCAATATTTTCAAATGGAGTAAGGAGATCAGATATGACCATCCACTCTTCACGATCTAAACTGTCTTGTTCCTGAGGGAAATTCTCAGTTTCTCCTTGACTTAAGATAACAGTTTCAAGTTTATCAAGCCACCCTGGGACATTAGCTTGAGCATAGGGTGTTTGCAAAAATTGCTGCCAGTGAGAAATAAATACTTCATCACATGATTCTTGGTTACCCCATGCATCATTTTGGGTATGTTTCCAAGGTTTGTATCTTAACAGCTGATACTTGCAATAATTAGGAAAATTTGGCCCTTTTGGATTGGAAGAATAAGTTGGGAAAATGCGTGGAATGACATTGTCTGGCAATTTTATGAGGTTTTCACTATCAACTTTGTATTTAGTCATAAACTGCACAAAGTTTAGGTTCATTGTCTCTGGTGAGCTATCATAATGTTGACGATTAGCATAAACATCCAGGGGTGAATTGTTTGTACAGCTTGTATTATCGTTATCAACTGCCTGGTTTGAATGTACTCTACATGAGCCATTTAGACTCACAGGAACAACATTGAATGAGGAGCTGTGCAATTTCAATGATAATAGATGATGCATTGTTTCTTGAGCAGAATAATCTCGCTCACCAAGAGTTTTCATTACAACTTTTTTAATAGCTTTGTGTGGATCACTGTTGACATAAACATTTTGGACAATAGAATTAAATGCATGTTTAAGTAATGGGGACCTTGGCTCACCCTTAGCAGTATACTTTGTAAGGTATTCAACACAAGCATAATGATCAATCACAACTTGAATGTCACAGTTTGCCCTCCAGCCTTGTAGCTGTAGCTGTTGGTGATTGTTTAGTCTAGGATCATTTCTTTTAGTGACAATTTTTGCTCTGTAATGTGGTTCAGCACTCTTAGTGTGAACTTGTTCAAATTCTAACTTTGTCTGTGAACAGTGTTCAAATGGGAAGTTAAATCTACATTTTAAATCAGAATCATTGTGCTTTTTTTTTAGACAATAGTAAGTACTACAATGGGTATGCCTTTGAACTGTATTCAACAGATCAATGTAATCAGAATCTAGTTCTTCTTCAGGAATATCTTTATATGATCTCTGGCATGGATGTACCTGTGGCCTGATCCACATATTGTTTTCTGGTGAGTTAGGATTAACTGTTGATAACAACCAATCAACATACTGACATGCAATGCCAGCTGCTTCATTACCAGCTTCAATATCCTGGTTTTGTTCTGCAGTATCTATGCCATGCTCATCTTTGCATTTTTGAGCTAAGAAACCTTTTAAGGCAATCTGAGTGAGTTCACATAATCCTGGATCATTCTTTAGTTTAGCAGTGCCATGGCAGTGTATGCTACCTCTACCTTGGTATTCATACCTGAACCAGTGCCATTTTGCATCAAGAGTATTATACAACCAGTATTTAATAAAGCTCTCTAATCTTTGAGTAAAGAACCAGTCAACAAGATGTGGATTATTAATGACATTTTGACGTTTTGCCTCACTGCTGTTGTCATTGTTCCCCTCAAACAATGAGTGAAGTTCAGGCCAATGCATATCAGCTGATGAAAAAGTAAAGAACAGTGTAGGTGTTCCAACATTTGTTATTATTGCTTTAAGGTCTTCTTTTATCTTATGCCAATACGCATTTGAACCGGCAATGTTGGCAACATACCTAGAGACCTTAGAAATGAAGGCAGCAGAATTGTTACTAGCTGCCATTTCTTGCAACTCATCAATAGTAAGATGTGCTTCACCTGGATTCTGTTTCAGAAATATGCCAGTTTGTTGCAAAGTTCTCATTCTCTGAATCATATTAAATGCCCAGTAACAAAATCTTGGATGACTAGAAAATCGGTATACCCACTTACCATAATTTTTTTCTGCAAATTTTATAAGATGCTTAATTCGCTCTGAAAGAGGAACATTTCTTTGGAGTGCTTGATTTGTTGGATCTCCCTTTCCATCAGGGAATAGTGTAGGAAATGCGTTGATTTCTTATGGCATCTAGTTCTTGTTGGTGTTCTTCACCAACAGGTAAGAAACTACTCACATCAGTAGAATTATCATATACAGTGTCTTCAGATGAGTTATTAGTTGGTGGACCTACATCATTTCCAACAGTTTCATGAGTGACATCATCATCATTTGTCTCCACAGTCAAAAGATTTGATGGAATCCCATCAACAGGCAATTCATATAGTGCCTGAGTATTAATTTCTACATTTTTATAACATGGATTGTGTTGTTTAAGCCACAACAAGGCATCAAGAATTTTTTGCCTTCTAACATTGATATCTTTGAAAGTATTTTCTTTACCCTTAACCTTCACAATGATCACAGATAGGTCCTTTGGATACCGTGGCAAGGAAGATACAAGTTCATTCACATTTTGGGGCAGATTTACACAATGCCCAGAATAACCTCGTTGGCCACCAGGTTTAATATAAACTCTCATTATAGGTAATGCACGAGAAACTAACATCTCTTCTACCTGAGTCAAACCTTGCAACTCAGGAGGAATTGGGGAAGGAATCATAGAATTTTCTTTTGAAAACTTTTTTGGACTCTTTTTGTCCCTACTACACCGTGAGCATATGTAAGTGTCTGGTGACCTAAGTTTTGATTTTAATGGCCATGCCTCATGACAAACAGTACACTGAAAAATGGAAAATTTAATTGAAATATGGAAGTTTGACATAAATGATTTAGCACAACTTTGTTCATGTAGTTTACCATGTTTGGCAGAATCAAATTCTTTTAAATAATCTTCCTGAGAAAGTACAGGTACTTGCTGACTTCTTTTACGCTTTGTTTTCATACCTTCCCTGACTTTATCAAGCCTTTTTTTCCTCTCAAATGGAGATTGTTCTGACCTTTTTATTTTCTGAAGTGCATTATTTTTGTGCAACCTGATTTCTTTGTCAGTTTTGCTTTCATTTGAAATCATTCTTTTCTTATATTCTCTAGCTTTTTGAAGCCTATTTTGTCTCTGACTTTCAGTTTCATTTTGCACCTTTGTTACATTAGGTGCATCAGTTGCATGAGGCTCTATGTGAAACTCAACAGGTACAACCTCAAAAAATTTGCTATTTAACTTATATGAGAGGGTATACAAATGCTGTTCTAGCATAAAAATATTGCTGAATTTCAATACAACAGCAGTACCATTTGAATCAAGCATACCACAAACACTTCGTGAATGAGAATCAAACAAATAAATACCATCTGTATCTTTTATTAAAGCCATAATAAAGCCTTCTAATATTATGAATGCATAATCATTGCTTGCGAAAGCATTCATCAAAGCTGAACGTAATGTATAATACAAGCTGTGATTTTCATCCTCGTCAAACGCATTAATAGTTCTCCCTTGATAAAATTCTTTGTAATTTACTAACCATAGAGTTGTGTTGTTTCGCGAGTTTTGATCTATCACCGACAGATCAGAATTAGTCACCCTGAGAAGCGACTCAACATCCGCCCAGAGAGGCGAATCATTTGTTTTCGATTCAGCCCAAATAAGCGAATCGTTTGTTTGGCTAGTGGTTGTGTAAATTTGCATAGTATTTGCGTCAAGGCGCCATTGAATCTCGCGGGGCAGGTAGTTCAAGGACAACGTCTCTGTGTCTGGGATGGACCTACTTGCAAAAGCATCTAGATAAAGCCGATCTCCTTCAGCAACAATTTGATCTACGATGGGTGGGATCCACTGTTCGATCGGCAAAGAGTGAGCAAATAATAACGCTGAAAAACTCATAAAAGAACATTGTCTTCCGCGTGAAATGTCACTAAACCGTTCGCTACCTTGATGAATGCTTCCAGCAACGAATAAGTGCAAATTTGACATGATTTGTAATAAAAAAAACTTACCTATGTACGCTCCGCTCCTGCTTCGGCTCGACTTTTGAAATTCGAAACGCTCGAACGTGCTTTTAGCTGACGCGAGCAACATGCGCAGAAGTGTGAATATAAAGCATTACGCATTCACCTAGGATGAAACCGCAGTACCATGGTACGTGTGCTCAAAATCATCCTGACAAACAAAAATCGCTGAAATCGAGATGCTTGTCAAGAATATAGGGAATATAGGGAATTATGTCGGTAATTCATTATGAGAGAAAGCGCGTCCTATAGTGAGGAATCAGAGCCATCTGTTACAACAGATTGGGACACTGGTGCAAAGAGCAAGACACAGTGATATTGTTTACATTGCTATATAGCCTTGGGGTTGTTTCCTAGAAGTTGTCCAAAATAAGGCCACTGGGACAAAGTGTTACCAGACTTGTGTAGGGCAAATTAAGAATACATTACCATCCTGTGTCCATAGTTATGATGTCTTACATGAATAAATGTTACATGTTGGTGTTTTATTAATATTTATTTATAATGTTATATGTTTATTGATCTTTAATAATGTTGTAATAATGTTACATGTTGGTTCTTTATATTATATGAGAGAAAGCACATCTCATTCTGAGAAGTTTGTTGCAAATTGCCCACGGAACAAAAGAACAGAACATTTATAGGTAAATTTTTCTTATTTAAATTTGAGATGTAAAAACACCAAAATTTTAACCAATAGACGTTACTGCTCATCCTTGTTTGAGCTAGTCGACTCATACATTATTAGTAAATCATTCTTTATAAGACATAGTTTACATTGCTGTATAGCCTTGGGGTTGTTTCCATAACACTAAAAAGTGTTAAAGCAGTAAGGTCTATTACTCTTTGTTGAAAAATAGATATATTAAATATATATGAAGAACCAAAATGTAACATTATTATAACATTATTTACAACATATATTATATATCAATAAACATGTAACATTATAAATAAATATTAATAAAACACCAACATGTAACATTTATTTATGTAAGACATCATAACCATGGACACAGGATGGTAATGTATTCTTAGTTTGCTAACCATGGAAAATTAATGCTTCAAAATTTGGTAATGCTTCAGTAACAGGCCTGATTCCTCAATATTTTTGGGAACTTAGGAAAAGGGATAGATAATTAATAAATAAAACAAGTTAAACTGATTTAAAAACATTACATTACTGATCATGCACAAAAAATTACTATAAGCATAAATTAAATTACCCCCCGGAAAGTTTACACTATGACTGACTGACTAACTGAATGTATGACTTGTTTGAATTTTCACCACTCATCACAATACTGCAAACAAACTTTCAAACAAACTTTGCACTAAAAATGATACACAGTTAAAATTTTAGCTCAATTCAGCAATTGGAAGTGTGCAATAAAAAAATATGCTTACCTTTTCTAACTTAGGGGTGTAATTATTATAGAGTATCAGAGCAGATCATGCGTGATTGAATTCAAACGACACAAAGGAATTACTGTTTAAAACTTTGCACATGTATTTATATCACAAAATATTCACTGAGCCAAAGGCAAAGTGAATATAGGCTTGTGATCACAGACCCTGAGGCGATTAATTGTTTTAGTATAAATTTGAAGGTGTTTACAAATAATCAAGATAATTGTAGCAGCTTTCAGCTTAGTGGCTAGTTATGATGCGGTAACCACTTCCCATTTGGGACAGGTAAAGGTTTGCACAATCTTGTTTTTCGCTCAGTTGGTTATGTGTATTTGTCAAGAAAACTTCTAATAAAAGTTTTAAACAAGTTTTCGTAACTCATCCATCTGTTTGAACATCTCGGTTTGTGCATCGTTCGCCTCGACAAGGAGGGACTGTTATGTAAGTTTATCTTTTACAATTGTGATTTAGTTAGTTTGTAGTTTCTCTTTTGGCATGTTAGTCTTTTAGCGTGCATGATAAGATTGAGCGGTTTTAGAACATGTTTTGGTGCATGTGATACGTATTCATAATCTGTATAGCTTATTATTCCTTTAGTTTAAGACACGGTTATAGTAGTTTTTGCTGGTATATTAATTAGGAATGCATGAACTTAGTTTTATATATTCATTTTTTCAGTTTACGACAACTATAATCGACAACTTTAATGATTCTCGAGGAGTAAGGTTGTTACTTGGTCAAGACTAATAAATTGTTGACTGTAAAATATATCCCTGAATTGTTTCTTCAAACTCTAAAATGCGTCGCGAGTTAGGCAAATCGTCGTCGTTTCAAACAGCTTGCGCTGCGGCTGTTACAGTAAAATAACACCCATTGGTGAGTTTTGTTTAAATTTACTGACCGAAAATCGAAATGTCCTCACAAGACCCAAACGAACATATTTCGAACATCAAAATCAGTGAAGGGATTGATTTGGCTTGCGAACAACGCCCAGAAGTTGGCACAGAAACAATAGAAAATGTTTTACGTAAAAAACAGAAAAACCAACAAACTGCATCATTGGAAATCAAAAATTATCTTTCCCTTCCTGAACAACAACTTGGCATTTGTTTGAGGAAACCCACAGAAAAGGGTTTTCAATAATGAAAAGAGATTTTAGGACAAAAATGTCAAACTTGTTATCGCAATTTGGCAGGGCATAGAAGAACGAGACAGAGAAGAAGATTTCTCGAAATCATAAAGAATGGAATCCTCCACAAAAATGGACGGTACGAGATCCCTCTGCCAATGAAAGATGATGCGGCAGCTAACCTGCCAAAAAATCGTATTATAGCTTTAAATTGACTCAAACCGCTGAAAAGGAGACTTGAGTCCAACAACAAATATCGCGAAGATTATGTGAAATTCATGAACAAAATCATAAGTTGTGGCTACGCTTAGAAGTTAAACAAGGGCAAGGGGAAATGTTGTCGATAGCAAACTAGTTCGGTATATTTCGCATCACGGAGTTTATCATCCGA